AAAAAACACAGATTTTAAGACAGGATTTTTTTTAAAATAGAAATTTTCTAACTATTGGGACAACATGGTCTGATAAAGAATACATTTATATACATGTTTAAGCCAGAATTATTTGACATTTAAATAAGATTTCCCCACGACTTTAATAAAATAATCTGAAATCCAAAAATCTAAGGCAAACTTGCACTTTGGTTCAGTTCAGCTGTTTTCATTATGTCCAACTAGAACACAATCAGGATTGTAGGAAAGCCTCTATGCTGCTTTCAGTTCTTCAGTGTGACTGAATGAGGAAATGTTCTGTGTTCTGACCATCCTGCTCTGGTTACCTGCTGCCTGTCCGGTCTTCGCCAGCAGCCCGCCCAGCTCCAGGATGCTCTGCTCCTTAACACGCACCGCCTCCTCATCGTTGTCCTGGATGTCCCGCTTCACTAAAACACACAAACACACCAATGATGTAAAGCGTCCCGTTTCATGGCTATGCACCAACACGTCCTGAAGCTGAAACAGTAGTTTATGACACAGCAGAGTAAAATGAAAGCATTGAATCCCGGAGTGGCAGATATAAATGGCAAAGAGCCAAAGGCTAACAAAGCTGCAAATTATCACAGAAGATATGAAAGCAATAGAAATATCATTCGCTACGAGATAAGAAGCAACAAATTATTAGATTAAACGCTGACAAAAACTAAAAGTAATTTAGTCTAGGATGTTTAGGATGATCTTGATGGCTGACAATGAGTGTTTGTAATTTCCCTGACGGCCCTGCCAGCTGATAGAAACGGGAGAGGTAGACGCTAACAACATTAGCTGTCATCCAACTTCCAGCTAAATCAATGAAACCGGCTAGCTAGCATTAGCGTACACACAAAGCTAGCCGGCATGCTGCTAACCGGCTAGCCAGGTGCTGCTGACTCACTGTCCAAACAGCACAGAAAGGGTGACGGTCTACATCGTGCTAACGTGTGTAGCTTAGCTTTCCTGCTAACTAAACAGCTTACGACAGTTGGGCAAAAGTGCAGAATTTGCGTCGAAACAAAAATGTAAACTACCCCTACGGCCGGGAAGTGTTAATTCCACTTACCTATAGAGTGTAAAATATCAATAGAAGCGTTACGGTCGGTTCCAATAAGAGACCGAGCTCTCTGAAACTCAGCCACAGCCGCGGCTGCCATCTCTCCACTCACTGCCAGCCTTTGCTCTCTCTGCGAGGTTCACTTCCGGTTGGGCTGCTCACTTTTGCTACGCTGCTTCCCCCTTGAGGTGAATTCGAATCGCCGCTTCTCCATACTTTCCTTGTGCTTTCCCATTTAACATGTGACACCAATAATTATGTACAAGTTTAATAATGGAGAAGCTATTAGTCAGCTTTGTACTTTATTAATATATAAAAACTAAGCATTTTCTGAGAATGTGTTTATTTAAGAGCAACAATGCAAATTAACCAACATCTAGAAAAAGTACACTATATTATATTATTTTCCATGTGAATCCCAGATTGATCATTCTTCTTTGCCTTTTATAAAAAAGTGCCTGTCCGTATTCATGCTGATCCTGACGTTTGAAAAAGGAGGCAGGGAAAGCGGAATAAAGCATTAGCCTCCCTGCATGCAGTTACCCAAGCCGTGAAGCTAAACCAGGTCCTGGAAAAAGACAGAATGTTCCATCTCCGTCTTTTTGGACTGCTGATCAATTTTGATGTTATGTGACGACAATTCCTAGCTCCTAGCTCTCCTGTAGCCTACTTCTGTTTGTAGAAGTACAGGACTTCTACTTCTATTGCAGAGGAGCTACTGTGCATGTACAACTTCTAAAAAAAAAAGTCAGGCAGTTTTTTCAATTCACAAAAACGAGTATGGACTTGTGTCCTTGCCAAGCATGTTCTTGAGAAGAACACAGGAAAGTATGGACTACGGTCCAGGCTACCATCACCGGGTTGGGTCCGGTTGCTCCGTCCATGGCCGCCGAGGTTCCAAGGCCGGTCCACTCAGCAGCCCCAGCAGCACCCCAACCCCCCAAAAAAGTGTCCTCCTTTTCAGAAACCCAAATTTGGGCACCATAGGTGTGAATATAGCATAACAGTAACTAGCTTCCAGACATGGCTTCCTGCATGAATATTGGTTCGCTCGATTCGCTCATGTGTCAGGGTACACACACAGGGGGGAGGCACAAGCAGACGACCATGACTGACGTTTCAAGAACCAATCGTGTGCAACGGACTGTCTTTTGTAATTGGTTGAGGTTATTCATTGATATGTCGCTGTAGCGGGGACCATTTATTTTAGTTTCACGTCCAGATCTTTAAGCCACATGATAAAAAAGGCGTCAGAAAAGAGCATACTGCTGTAAAAGCCGCTGAAGGGTAGACCTGTTTGAATTCAGAGCCACAACTCTTCAGGTCTCCTTAATTTCAAAGACTTTGAAGGATCCAGTCGTGTCCTTGGAAGACGCAGCCCATAAATTCAAACAGAGCCACTGTATCGGTGTGTGTATGAAGGTAGATTTGTTTCTTTATTCTTCACTCAAAAAAAAAGGTTGCTTCAATCAAAAAATATTTTTCAATAAAAAAAACCTTCACTTCAATGAAAAGAAATTTTTTTCAATCAAAGAATAAAAGTATATGAATGAAAAAATATATTTGAGACTCAAAAAATACATTTGAACACTGCTTTTCTTTGATTAAAAATGTCAATGATAGAAGTGTAGTCTTTTTTGTTTAAAGCTACTTTTTTAATTGAAGTAACATTGTTTTTGATGGGACCATATAATGGGTAGGACATTTGTGTCTTCAATCAAAAAAGAAGTTGCTTCAAACAAACAAACAAACAACAGAATCAATAAAAAAAGTAACTTAAATGAAAAGATAAACGTCTTCAATCATAGAAAATAGTTTTTGAATGCAAATAAAATATTTGGGACTCAAAACATTGCATTTGAACACTTTATTTATTGTTCTCTTTGGTTGAAGGGATCTATTTTGGGTTTGGGCCATACATGGGGAGGACATTTTTGTCTTAATCATTCAATTCCCAAAAAGTTGTTTCAATCAAAAAAAAAAAAAAAATTAATTAATAAAAAAAAAAAAAAATAAATCAAAGAACAAACTGTGCACATGCAAATGCAAAAAATATATATATATATACCCCATGAATAAATTATATATATTTTTTTCACTTCAAAAAAAAAAAAAACATTTTATTCATGGGGTAATTTCTTTTTTTTTTTTTTTTGCATTTGCACAGTTTGTTCTTTGACAGATTTTTTTTCTAAAAACAATGTTACTTCAATTAAAAAATTTGCTTTTAACAAAAAAGACTGCACTTCTATCAAATAAAACATTTCAATCATAGAAAAGCAGTGTTCAAATGTATTTTTTTTTAGTCTCAAATATATTTTTGCATTCAACTAACTGTGTTTAAAAATGCACCTGTCAACATGATGCATCTGCTAAAAACATCTATTTTTTGCGGTTTATCATTTAAATTATCTATAACTTTGTAGCAGCCTAAAAGGAATAGGAACGTTTCATCCGTTAATTTCTTCGTTGTGTCATCATATTTCCCTAATTACATTTTTTTTCTTTACTTATTGTTTTAAAAAATATTATTTAAAATCCTAGTCCACAAAATTCACATTTTCCCCCTGAATTTCACATATGTTTAAAAGACGTCAAAGATATTTTCAATTTAAACATTGATATGAAATAAGACATCGTTGCACGAGGTCATCAAATCCATTTAGTTTAGTCTGTCAAATAAAATGTCAGTATTATGTGAGTTTTAACGCAGTATCAATAGTTTGGCAATGTGTCGAAACGCTTCAAGACGCCTCATTAACCCACCATTAGTCCGATTGATTTCAGGTGTGGCTGCTGGTCTGCAGGTGAAGTAGGGGTGGTAGCGGTCACGAAAATATCATTGATTGTTAAGAAACATGAAAGTAGGAGAAGAAATGTGGAGGACGAAGAACGAGATATACAGCATTATTGGACGTCTGGAAGTTGGCGTTGAGGGATTTCCACGCGCTGCAGCGTGGGACATCAGCACCGGTAGGGTAAGCAACGATGAAGGACGAGTCCATGAAGAGAAAACCCTTTGGTAGGAAATAAGAGTGGTTACACATGGCAATAAATCTGAAGGAAAAAATGGAGAAGTCCTACTGCAGACAGTAGGTCCAATAACGAAATATATGAAACTGCATCGCCTTAACTTAAAACTTAAGATACGCAGCACTGGAAAACTGTTAAGTAACTGACTTATATTGGTCAGGTTGTCAAAAAGGTTTGTCAAAACACATTAAGCTGGGAAAGACTTTATTTCCCGACGAGTTACAAAACACACGAAACTGTACAGGGGGAAAAAAGCAAATAAAACTACGTTTTGGTCTATTTTTTTCTGAGTTACTTTTACAATGAGCTGTAATCGGGGAGTGGAGGCATATTGCTGGCAATTCTGAGTTCGGGCCCCACTCCCACAGACTGCCACTGTGGGTCCCTGAGCAGAGTGGCAGGCCGCTGCTTCCCCAGGGGATGGCTTAAATGCAGAGGTACATTTCTCCGATGTGAGATCTATAAAGTTAAATTATTATTAACTTTTAACTTTAAGGTGCTGTACAAACTGAATGATGTGCTTCTCTGGATGCAAACCTTCACAGTGTAACACAATTTCTCATGTCTGCAGAGAAATGCATTCCCTCACATGGGAATGTGCATCGCCCTCAACTCGGGCAAATTAGTGAGAAAAAGGATTGAAATATGAATTGTGAAATATGAAGCGATTCCCATGTTTTGATAGTAACACCTCTTATGTAGTTTAATCTATCCCTCTTCTGCTAATTCCTTTTATTAAAAATATTTTTTTAGAATTTTGCATTTCACTATCTAAACACTTTTCTTTTTATCACGCTATGCAAGTAATTGCTTTGTAAAGTAAGAAATTTGACTTCATATCACTGATAAGAAGTTCATCACGTTAATTTTACATACAATTGCTTTTTATATTAAAATAAAACCTTTGTAAAGGTTCTGGTGTAAATCATATTTCTTTTGGGTTTCTAGAACATAGAAAAAACTGCAAAATTGTTGAGGTTAAAAATTAAACTACAAAAATACCAAAAATGATCATTATTGTATATCACTGTATAACTGACTTTAAAAAAGATTTAAACACAAGTTTCAGCAGCCTAAAAATGTGCATTGCCAAAAACGCATCACCTGCTTAGTTTGAGAATATATGAATCCACAGGTGTCAAACTGGTTCCAGAAAAGGCCGTGTGGCTGCAGGTTTTTCTTTCCAGCCAAACAATAGCACGCCAGACTCCATATCATTAAGTCATCATTTTGAGATTGGAGTCCCTTAATGAGATGTATCCTGCATGTTGGTTTAAAAAACTTTGACCTTTTACATCATTTTGAAAAAGAAATGAACTCTGTGTTGGACAACACTCTGATCCAGGGAACCATGGATAAATATGTGAAGTGATTTCTTTATGCGGCACAGCAGATCCGCAACACAAAACAGATGTAGGCTAGCTTTAATATTCTGTAGCCTATTCAGTTATCTACCATGTAATTTGTAAACACTGTAATTTGATCACTTCTGCACTTTATAAATCAAAGGGTTCTAAAAGCTGTACAAAACATACTCTGGGTATACAAAATTACAACAAAAGTTGTCCAAGTCTCAGTCTAAGTCATTAATTTTAAATGTTAAATTTTTGTTTATAGTAAAAGATGAAAGCTCCACTGATCGCTGGACAGTCACTGAAGTAATTTGACACATCGCTGGAGTATTGTATTTCCAGTAGCTATTTGTATTTGGTCAGTGTTTTTTGGTCTAAAATAATCAAAACTGGCCGGAGGAAATAAGTGCCCCAAAAAACATTCTTTAACATATGAGAACATAGGTTTCTTTGAAACAGAGAGAGGGGGGAAAATTCTGGACATATTTCGGTTTCAAATTCACATATGGTAATGTTTTGTCACCCAATGTGGAAGGGATTGACCAACTTTTATATTTGGCTTGTTTACACCCACATCTATTCACTGTACATCCTTGTGATATTAGAGGCGTTTTTACATGTATATTGTTACATGGGGGTACCAAATATGTCAATCCATTAAAATACTCTGTTCCCCCTCCATAATATGGCAACAAGTTGATTTACCACCAAGTCTTTTACGTTTATTCCTCCCATTGTGGACAACATGTCCTGTGAAAATGAAG